CAGCATTGCGCGCACTTTATTTGAATTAATTTATACGATTTTCGCATCAAATATGAAATTGATTTATTGTAAATTAATTATTTTGTATATCTCATTAAGCTGCTTAGTTCAACAGTTCAATGAAGCTTTCACCCGAATATCCAGTTATAGGTGACAAGGATTGAGTATCCACTTACCGTATTCCCATAGCAGTTGCTGTTCGCCGTTTTCTGTTGGATGTTTGCAGGTATTTAAAAAACGCGTCCGTTTGATTGCGTGGTCAGCGCTTCAATGCGGCACCTTGTTGCGCGTTTTCATGGTTAAAACCGCCACGATCGCCTCGACCAATTCGGCTAACGAACTAGCAATCTTTTTTTGGCCACAATTAAACCAGCCCAAAGGCTCACAGCTTTCCGCCATCGAGAGTCAGGCAGGCAGTCATGACATAATCGCCAAAGACATCCACATCCAATCAAGATGCAGGCTTCAATTTTGTTTTGGCCCCCCGCCATAAACTGGTTCGTTACATTACATTTTACATTTACATTTGCCGTGGACGTGGATGTGGTCAGGCAACTAGTTTTTCCGCCTCCCACTTGGCTTGGCATTTCATTGTTTTTAGTCATTTCTTCGTTTGTTATTGTTTGTTGTTGTTGCTTTTGTTTGAGCCAGTTTCAATGTTGCGGTCAACAACGGAAAAAATGTTTGAACTTTATGCATGTCTATGACCATGGCAGTGGGTCACATAGCAAGTCCTCGTCGAATGCCAGCGGGCCATATTAAAGATTTCATAAATTTGTAATCCCATCAGCTTAATCCATTGGAACTCAATCGAGTCTGACATTGACTACGGAAATGGAAATCCATATAATAAAAGGAGGGGAAGAGATGGAAAGAGATTAAGTGCATGACTGTGGGATTCTCTGTAAATAATTACATCATTGGTATATCTAGTGCACAATTCTAATTAATGCTAATGTTTGATACTTGATATTTGAGTATAAAACACAATTAAAAATATTGAAAACACGTTAAGGTAAGAATATTAAATAAGTGTTGAAAGATATAAATTACTAGAGGAACCATCTTAAAATCCTATGTGGTCGAAATTAAAAAATGAAATCACAATCTAACAAATATAAGAGCTCTTGCTTCTACTAGCCATATAACAAAGATATGAGAAAATGTGAAAACTATGTCACACAGAGATAAAAGCCAACAAATCGAAGCAAGATAAATATTACTACTCCTTAAGAGTAAAAGCTCAATCTGTGTGCAGAAAGCTTTTCGTTGTTCGGCGACTATAAAAGAAAGTGACACCCAAGGCTGCGCTTTAGTCGTCTGACTGATTTGCCAAGCCGCAATTGGCAAACGCAAAAATTAAACACTAGTTTCGATTTTTAGCGGGTAACATTTAACGGTTATCGGTTAACATTTAACGGCCAATGCAACAGAACCGGCTTAAGGCGGTGGTAAATCGTGAATTACGTAACAGTTGCAACGAAAGTGAAAGCAAACAGTAACAGCATCGCATGTTGCATCATTTGGTTGCAACAACAAGGCAGAGACAAAATGTTGTACACCGTCATCTTCTTTGCAACAATTGTGCTGCTCTTCTTAATCAACGGCACAAGGAAACCAGATAAATTTCCACCAGGTAAGAGAATTAGTTGAATATTTCGAAAATTTCAGATTAATGAAATCGAGCAAATATAAAAATATATAAAGTTAAGTTTTAGAATGTTATGTAAGGTTGAGAAATGGGAGGATTTGTCGATCAACATGTTCATTCAAACTTCAAATTTATTGAACAAGAAGTCCCAGTTGAGCTGGACTGAACGAGTTAGCACCTAGAATGACTTCTGTAGGATATAATTAAATATAGATCATATATTTAATTATCCTTTCTTTTTGCCAGGTCCACGCTGGTATCCCATTGTGGGTAGCGCACTGCAAATCTCTCACCTGCGCATGCGATTGGGCATGTTCTGCAAGGTGATCGATGAGCTAGCAAGGCGCTATGTGAATCCCTACGGATACTATGGACTGAAGATTGGCAAGGACAAGGTGGTGATAGCGTATACCAATGAGGCAATCAGTGAGATGATGACAAATGAGGACATTGATGGACGCCCCGATGGCATCTTCTATCGGCTGCGCACATTTAATTCCCGTCTGGGTGTCCTCCTCACCGACGGAGAGATGTGGGTGGAGCAGCGACGTTTCATCCTGAGGCACTTGAAGAACTTTGGCTTTGCACGCAGCGGCATGGTGGACATTGTGCACAATGAAGCCAGCTGTCTTCTGCAAGACCTAAAGGCCAAGATCATGGCAGCAGGGGGGAAGGAGGCCAGGATCGAGATGCATGATCTGACTAGTGTCTATGTGTTGAACACCTTGTGGTGCATGCTCAGTGGAAGACGGTATGAGCCCGGCTCAGCGGAGATAACGGAGCTGTTGGAAACTTTCTTTGAGCTGTTTAAGAATATCGACATGGTGGGTGCTCTCTTCAGTCACTTTCCTCTGCTCCGCTTTATTGCTCCTGATTTTTCCGGTTACAATGGGTTTGTGGAGAGCCACAGGGCTTTATACTCATTTATGGATAAGGAAATTGAGTTGCATAGAAAAACATATCGCAATTATGATGAGCCACGCGACCTGATGGACAGCTATTTGCGTGCCCAGGAGAAGGATAAGGAGAATCCCATGTTCAGCGATGAGAGTTTATTGGCCATATGCTTGGACATGTTTCTCGCCGGTTCGGAGACGACCAACAAGAGCTTAGGCTTTTGCTTTATGCATCTGATTAGACAGCCAGAGATACAGGAACGAGCCTTTGCTGAGATTAAGGATGTGGTGGGGTTGGAACGCATACCGGAATGGTCGGATCGGAGCAAGATGCCTTATTGTGAGGCCATTACGTTGGAGGCGGTACGCATGTTTATGTTACACACCTTTGGTATTCCCCATCGTGCAATGTGCAATACGCGACTATCCGGCTATGAGATACCCAAGGATACGATGGTAATTGCTTGCTTCCGTGGCATGCTCATCAATAGTTTTGATTTTCCTGAACCGGAAGTATTCGATCCGGAAAGGTACCTCGTTGGTGGACAAGTCAAACTGCCGGAGGCCTTTAATCCATTCGGCTTTGGACGACATCGTTGCATGGGCGACTTATTGGGTCGACAGAATTTGTTTATGTTCACCACAACGCTGTTGCAGCACTTTAAATTGGTTGCCATTCCTGGCCAGATGCCCGAAGAGGTGCCGCTCGAGGGTGCCACGGCAGCAGTAAAGCCATACGATGCCATGCTGGTGGCCAGATCATGAGCAACTTTTAGGGAAATGCTATTTTTGTTTACAAGAAATTTGATTAACTTGCGGAATTGAAAAATTACTGACACATGGAGGCAATAACGGCTATGCTTTTGCAATGAACAACGGTCGATATATATCACAATCTATCACTTCGCTTTATACACCACACTTAGTCAGATGCTATCGATAATCAGTATTTGCTTATGCGGGAAACATTATCGATAATGAGTTAATTAGATTATTCTTGGTAAACAAACGCTCATATATTATATGTATATGAATTGAGCTGAAGTAAATATTCATGCGCCTGCATACCTGCCTTGAGTAACTAACTAATCAATCAATGGATTATCCACAAATCCCACTTTTGGTTTTTAATCATTCATTATTGAACACAATATTTTGCTACATTCTCTAATTATGTTTTTATGTTTTAATTCTCACATATAACTATTATTGTTCATATTTGTTGGTTTCTTTTCGTTTGTTACATATATAGTCTACAAAGTTGTCATTTAGGTTATTTTCTTTCGTCATTCGGTTCACATCATTTCATCAATTTCAGTTTTGATCAATTTAATTTGATTTTTAAATTGGCCTTTTGATATTTCGCACGTTCTTCAGCAAACAACAAAAGCATTTCGCATTGTGCATACATACATAAACATTAGATTTAAGCACTAAAAGTACGATACAAATACAAATACATATATATATTTATATAAATATATATATGGCATATATGTATGAAAAACAATTTATCAGCTTAGCAAATATTATACAAATGTTATTTTCACAAATCGCATTGAATTGAATTGAATTTTCTATATGTATTAAGAATGCGCATTCCAACAATATTTCATTTGCCTTTTCTTCTACACAAATTGCATAATTTTTTGTTTTGTTTGTTATTGTTATTTAAAGCTATTTGTTTAGGTTTTTGTGATTTATGCTTGGAAAACAATTGTTGCTCGAAATCTTTCGATCGGCATTTTGTAATATATATGTACATATATATATATATATTTTTTTTTGTTTTTTATTTTTATTTTAAAATTTGAAATTTGTGTGTTGATATATTCTCACTCTTGAGCCTGCTGCTAGACACTGGGCTTACATGATCTAATTAGATGTATATATATGATGTATATATGTATGTTTTTATGGATGTATGTGTGTAAAAAACGCTAACAATTGTCACACAAAAGCAAAGCCAGCGTTAACTTATTTGCATATTTTAAGCATTTCTATAAAGTAACATTAACTTCATCTTACACATGTATGTATATCTGTATGCATGTATATATATATATATATATCTGAAATGATTTCATTAATTGTTGCACACATGATCTTGGTCCATGATTCCAACGCGCGAGAGGAAGAGTACACAGTATATATATAAACTATAAATTTACGATTCGGTTGAAGTGAAATAAATAAAGTGATTCGCAGCTGCAGCACAGGCTGCTGAGCTATTTCGTTTGAGGGATATGTTCAGTTCTAGAATTAGAATTAGGATTAGGATTAGGATTAGAGACTAGAAGACTAGCAAAAAGCATTTAACATTTGTGCAACATCGAAATTTGAGACAATACAAATACAATCAATATGCATACACACATTTGCTAAAATCAAAATAAGCAACTAATGAAATTCCCTAAAAATGTTGCAGCAGTTAGTTCTGTTTGAGTTCCTCAATTTTTATAGATATCGTTGCTTTCATCTCCTAGTTTTAGTTTTTGCGCCACACAAAAGTTGGGAGCTGCTGGGCACAGCAGCAGGCGACTATATAGAGTATGCCAAAGAAGAAGTTGAGTTTCGCCGTCTGCCGTGGCACCGCAGCCATCGTTTGCTCGTTGCGAAAACGTTTCTCGATTTGAAATGCTTGTGGGAGCGTTATTAACGGTAACAGGAACCACAGTGAATACTTCAATCCAAAAATGAAGAAAAGCGAATAGGGAGTAAAGAGCAGCATGGCATAGAGAACATGGGAGGCAGTCCGTCCAATGAGTATGGCCAGCGTCACAATGCCGGCTTTGCCATCACTTTCCGCATCTCGTGTATTATTGCTATGCAATATGGCCTCTGTATTTAGAGCTAGTGGTATGGCATAGCCCATTGTTGTCCAGTCCACGTGACCCGTCTGCGCCATGAACGCAAATAGCACCGAAGTCGGCCCGAACAGTATTAAGATGACAAGATCCCCGAGTGCAATGTATTTGAAACCAATGCCACCCGTGTAGAGGAAACTCGACGATAGGCCGCCAAAGTAAATGAGTGCCAAGTGTTCCATTTTAGCTGGACTCAGCACGGCGAGCAGTACAAAGCCTCCACAGCCCGCCAAATACAAAATAGCACCCAATGAAACTACCTAAAAACAAACAGAATCAATTACAATTGAGTGCCTAATATCTTAGTCGATACGGTATAAGCATTGATGTCTTCGCTTACCTCATCTTTGGTGAGTATATGATCGACCAGAGTGCGATCGTCAGCCTTTTGTTTATCGATACCTTTGATGTAGTCAAAGTAAGTATTGACCACATTGCCGGCGCAGTGCACCGTGACCACAGTGAAGGCGGTTAAGAAAAATGTGAGCATGGAAAAGTCATCCGACCATTGCGACCGATATGCTAGGGCGGACCCGAGCAGCGTGGGCACTAAACTGGCTGACAGTGACCAAGGACGCAAGGCGAGCAAATAGGTTTTTAATTTCATAAACGTGCCAGAGCTATAATAGTTGGTGCTAATTGATGAAGCTGCGCTCCCATTCGACTTAGCCTCGTGACTGCCGTTCAATAAACGCTCCCGGAGCAGCTGCTGAGAGGCTGCGACATCCTGCTGTTCGTCTTCGCTTCGACTTGTTGCCATTGCTCGCGCTGCTATTCAACTGCCAACTGGAAACTTTGCATTCACCAGCTGTGAATAATTTTCGGCGCTGATCTTGTATAAATTTTGTTGGCACTTATTCTTTTGTTTACAATAGTTTAAATATATTCCTGCCGTCTGTTCAATTCACTGCTAAAATCGTATACACAGCATTTTGTATATGTGTAAGTCGGTTTGTGTCTGTATATATATAAATTATGTGTGTGTGTGCGTTGCTGGATGTATGTAGGGGCAGGGGCTGAAGCTCCAACAACAACAACAAATTTCACCAAACAGCCTGCGTGCTCCAAATCCCAATTGCGAGTCGTCACTCTCTAGCCGCACCACCTACGCCGCAACGTAGAACTTGCTTGCAGGCAACACTCACACGTTTTATTGTTGTAAAATATATGTATATATAATTAAATTTCACTTAGTTCTTATTTATTTTGCAAGCAATAATAGCAGATTGCCTAGCGAGAGAAGAGAGAGCCTAATCAAACAAACCAACTGTCACGTCAGCGCTTGCAGAGTTCGGTCACACTGGTTAATTTAGTGTGTTTAAACTAAGAGATTTTGCAGCACTTAAACTGGACGGTATGCAGCTCGTGATTTCTGCTAGAAAATCTACAAGGCTAACAAAATCGATGACTGTCCATTAGTTAATTGTAGTACATTGAACAGGATTTAAATTTAAAATTCAATTCAATGAATATTATAAACTATATCTATCATGGTTGCACTCGTTCTTGGATTAAAATTTTTCTCACATTACATCCAGCCCTGGCCATTCGGCATCAACTGCTATCTGCGAAGCCCTAGTTTTTAACCAACAGCTGTTGGTAAATGTTTACATCCAAATAACCAAAACATTAAAAACATGGATTTTAATGTGCATAAAATATGTAGAGTGTGTCTGGAGGAAGGCGCGCCAAGTCCACTAACATCCATTTATAGCACAGACTTTGCGATGATGCCCTCACAAATGTTGATGATGTGTACGAAGGTTCGGGTAAGTTGTATTCAAAGAAAAATAATTCCAAATATTAAGTAATATAAATAACTCTTTGCAGGTTTATAAAACAGATGGCCTACCTGCGGGCATTTGTAATAACTGTCTGTACCGGCTAGGAGTAGCTTATCATTTTCAGCAGGAGTGCGAGAACAGCGACTTACGGCTGCGTCAATATTTGGGGCTACATGAATCCTTTCGGCACGATGCGGCAACGAACACAGAAAATGAAATTAAACCAATATCCGCGAATGTGCAATTAAATTCCAGTGATGAGGAGGATGGCCAAGCAGATATAAAACGCAGCAAACGACGGTCACGATACCAACGGAAACCGCCCGAGAGCCACAAAAAACGTGGACCTAAGCCAGTGGCCAAGCTACCACACACCTGCTACGTAGCTACCTGCCATAAGAGCTTCAAATGTGCTGCACAGCTCACTCAGCATATTCGCACACATACCGGCGAAAAGCCATATGCCTGTAGCTATTGTGCCCAGCGCTTTGCCCAGAAATACAATCTCAAAGTTCATGAGCGAACGCACACGGGGAACAAACCATTTCAGTGCGAAATCTGTTCAAAGCAATTTTCAGCGCTGGGCAACTTTCAGGCGCATCAGAAGATCCACAGCGGCGTACGGGATCAAATTTGCTCGCTGTGCCAGAAAGCCTTCTACACTGCCGGCGATCTGTCGAAGCACATGATCACCCATACGGGCATCAAAAATCATCATTGCGACGTGTGCGGCAAGTCCTTCAGCAGACGACGCGACATGCGCGCTCACAAGGTCAAATTGCATCCGCTCGAATCGAGCACGGAACATGATATTGTAGACGACGATGATGATGAGCCCATTGATACGGATCCCGTGGGCTTGGATACCTTAGAGCATTCGCATTTCAAGTGTCCCGATTGTGATAAAGCTTACGATTCGGCTGATAGCTTAAGTCTGCATTTCCGCACGCATGCGGTGAATAATAATTTATTGAATTTACCTTTGCCCGCACCGCCGCCTATGTCACATCACTATCACCACCATCATCCCGCTGGCGCACCCCCATCTACTGCTGCAATGCATCATCACGATGCACTACAACTGCATCATTTGGCGCCACCGAATGCAGCCACCCAAATGGGCATGGCGGCCATGGCCCATATGTTGGCACCACCACCTCCGCCCCCGCCCACGCCCAGCGATGGACGATACACAATGTTGCACCATACGGCAGCACAGCGATTGCACTACTAAAAATTCCTAATAAAACTTAAGACTTAACTAAAATTAATGTAGCTTTCAACTATTGCGTATCTCAGATTTTGATGCTGGTCAAGAATATACATTTAGGCTTCAACTCTTCTACGTTTGATATATTTTACTCTCATTACACATCACCTATAAATGCACAGTTAACATCACTTGATATACCCTTGATGATCCACAATAATTACAGGGCATACACCCATGTTCTACTTAAGTACAGTTTGATATTTTGTAATATATTGAACACTTTGTTTAAGCATTACATATGCAACTATGTATATAAAAAATGGAATTCTTTGTCATGTTTTTTGCTGTTTGTACAATAAATATATAAAATTTGGCAAGCACAGCTTCTATAAGATCATTTGTCTTGCTTCTTAAACTCTCAACTAAAATACTTTAAAAATGTATTACAAATACATTAAAATGTAAAACTCTATACTGTTTGCAGCTTGCTTTTTGTTGGAGTTGTATAAATAATGTTAAATATATTATTTTGCTCATATAAAAGAAGGAATTGTCATATTTGTTAAATTGCTTTGCTTTGCTGTTTGGTATGTATCGTTATCGTTGGTATTTCGTTTCGGCTCCATTTAAAATATATATGAGAAACTATTTGTAAAATATTGCTTTCTATATGTGAATGACGCACAGAGTATGATCTGTATCTACTTAAGCTTCGCCCTCAGCCAATCCTCGGTTAATTCATCCAATTCACGTATTTCGTACACTCGAGTCAGATCCACTTCTCGTTGCAGCGCGCTTTTTGTGCAGGCATACATCATTTGCAGTTCTATTTGACTGTCTCGCGGTGTGTAGAAGATGAAGCACATGGGATACGAAATACGCTGATCATCGTGCACCATTTTATATGTGTAAATCACGTAGCGGGGCTGATGGCCAGGCAGTAAATCCTGCAGCTCCTCCACAGAAATATCATCAATGAACTCATCGAGCACCACCGATTGCTTCTCTCTATCAACTTTTACTGTTTGGCGGAAAGAGAAGAAATGTGAAGAAGAAAGGGAGAAGATATATCAATCAACGGCCCGTTTACAGTAGATACTTTGTTGTCATGGCAACATTCTATAAATTTTCCTCTTACATATCAGCGCTGAATTAGTTTTGCTTTTACGAAAACGAAACTTTTTCAATTCATCAAGCACCTCATTGCTAATGTCGCATATTTTGTTATCACCCTGCAATTGCAACGATTTTTATTAGTTAACGCATTTGAAGAATAACAAATCTTATCGCCTCATCAACAGAACGCACAGAGCACGAAAAATTGGCCCGCCCACAGAGCAAAGCAATTAGTCATTCATTTTAAATGCTATCTGTTGCGTTGAGAGAAAATGAAAACTCTCACCATTTAGATTTATCTGCACTTGTATTTAAGGGTTATTTCAAAGCTTTTTATTCTTTTAGCTATAAACGAAAACAGCAGCAGATAACACAAATAATAAAAACCCTTTGCCGTATCCACCTTCTTTGTTTTGGCTCAACACCTGTGGTCACCCACAAAACTTAACATTCACTCAAATGTTATTTCCAGCTGTTGCTCATACTATCGATTAATGATATAATAATAATAAAATGTATGGAATATATCAAACTAAAAACTTTTTAAAATTATATAAATTATATACGTTTTTCGAGTTTATTTATAAAATTATTATCTCAACGAAACAAAGTCGCTGTTAACGATCATTTCCACAATTAAATTTAAGTGCTGCAAAACGCGACATTTTTCCCGCCCAAAACATCAAATATGATCAAACTTACCGTTCATTCATGAAACCGGCAACTAAATAGCGCCATGGCGCTAAAACAAGTTGACTTTAAAGGAAATAAGGAAATAAATCTCTTAAAACCCTGCTGGATAGCCGGAAATAACAAATATTCAACAGCGCGATTTGTAAAACATTTTGCGCGACATGAAATTAACGAAATCGACGTGGTTGCAAGTTGGTAGGTCCGATGTTGCAAGCATACTGCAAAGTTTATAACTGTAAATTGATGTGTTGAATATTATTATTAAATATTGAATTTGATAAATAGCGAAAAAATCCACGACATTATTGAAACAAATCAGGTGAGGAGAGGAACCCTTAATAATGTAGTGGACACTCTGAGCTGTCGAGCTGTTACCTTCAAGGACATTGCGCGCCTCACTTTTGGTATTAATTACATATTAAATCAACAGGTTACCTCGCTACTGGGTAAAGATAGTTATTTAATACCATTAAAAATTGTTATAACTATTATATTCACCTAGATGATACAAAACATTTGCTGGATCAAATTATTGGGAACAAATTCGATTTAAATCAACCAACGCAGAAGAGAAATCCGGATTTTAATTGCCGTAAAAGAAAGCAAATTATCACGAAGCACACAACGACTGTTTGTGTGGCAAAGAGAGCTAGAATTAGAGAGCCACAACTATTAGATGAAGAAAATGTAGATTATTATAGGCATTTGTTAACCGAATCTCAACAATGGAATATAGAGAAGGAAAATGTAGCAATCGAACAGGTAACAGTTTATATATATAAATATAAAGTATAGTCTAATATGTTTGGTCTGCCTTGACATTTAAGTCACAGACTATAGAAGTAGCTCGCAGTTGCTTGCCGGAGCACATGATAAGCGTAACGCACGAGCTCACTTTTACAGAAATGGAGCAGGAGCCAATGTGGAACAATGGCTTTGGTGACTCCAATCAAGTTGATGTGACCGCACTTGAAGAATTTCTGCCAGCCAGAAATGCTGGTAATATAATAAGCTTTTCTTATTTATATATAAATATTTATGTATTTTTAGTGAAGCGCAAGTCGCTTGACCACTGTCCTACAGGTGTTTTGAGCTGTAAAATGCCCAGATTAGAGACAGATACAATTATGAAGCAGACAAATAATAATCCAGAAACCTATAATCCTTGTCAGGAGGTGGAGCAGGAGATGGTGCAGCTGGAATTGCCTCCACCAATTGTTATTACTCCACAAAAGCGTAAATCTAAATCAAAGCGAAAAAACCGAGTTATTAAAGATCAAATCATAAAATTGTCCCGACATACTCTCCTCCGAGATAGGGAAATCTATTTTAGAAGATTCACGAAAGGAAAATGGCGGAAACCTAAAATTATTAAGCCCAACAATACCTGTGAGGTATTACTAAAAAGCTTTAAGCAAAGGTTAGATATTATTATTGTTTATAAATATTATTTTAATGACATTGTTTGTGAAGTCAACTTTTTCCAGATCGTTTGAAGAGAGATGTGCAGCTGAACAGCGAACAAGCTGAAGCGGCGTGTGAATCAACACTACGAGCTATATTAGGAGCTGAGTATAATGATGAGCTGTCCAGAGAGATACTGTCCATAAGACCTATAAGTGCACAACAGATAAATACTTTAGAGATTTCTGCTTTGCCACCACTAGAGCCAGAGCTACCTATACAGCTCTCTCCAACTGCAATTGAGGGTCCACAATGCAATAACAACAATAATAATGACTATACCGCTTACGATGACAATATTAAGAATATAGGTAGGCGGAGTTTAGTTGCGGCTTTTAACTCACTAATGCTTAATCTTTCTTCAACAAAGATTCTTTGCGCATAATGATGCATTTGCTCAGCATATGGCGATATAATCCCGATTTAAAATGCATAGATGCCAATAAGTTTATCAAATCATTTCCGGATCGCTTTAAAGCGGCCCTGACATTCAATCATTTGTTATGTTAGTAACATAGATAAAGGTAAAATACGATATCTAATCTTTTCCTATCTCATAGATCTTGCAAAGGAAGGCTTTATAGAACTCTCCACGAAGCCGGACTCTGTAGAGATAAATGAAATTACTTTGGGCGCAGAGTCCAATTGGCTTATTGAAGAAAACTTAACAACTTGTGAGCAGCTTATAAATAATTGATTTCTAATTGTTAACGCTCCAGTGTTTAATATTTGGTTTTGAAGTTTCTTTTTTTCTCTATTTTTGTATAAACTTGTTTCTTGTTACTGTTTAAATAACTATAATTCATTAACATTTGTTTAATTCTCTAAATCGTTCTTTGTTTTGTTATCTTTCGTCTTAAACTCTTGTACCTCTCTAAATACCATTAAAACCAAAGCAAATGAAAAACAAAATTCAATGAAAAACTAAAATTGAATTAAATGCCAATTTGCTGGGCCAGGCATGCATAAATATTCAGTGAGCAGAAGCCAATGATGGCAGCAACTAAAGCTTTGACCGCAATCGATGTCCAAGGTCCAATGCTTAGGATGTGCAACAAGCCTTCCAGCCAAACACCCTTAAATATGGTCACGACCAGCAGTATGGAGACTAGCGGCTTCAGTGCCTTGTTGAGATCGTGACGTGTGAACAACCAGATCAACGTGGCAGTTGATAAATGCTGGACGAGCATCACGTTGGACTCCAAGCACTTCTGTATATAGATCCAGCTGAACTCGGTGCCACGTGCGCCTACCCACAACATGATGCCACGGGACAGTATGACCTCCGCAGTAGCCCCTATATTCAATGAATAATTAATTTAACTTAATTGAAATCCTGAACATTGTAACCTTACAGCCCAATCCAGCGGTGATTAATTTCGAGTGGCCCTTGCCGGGTATGCGACTCAGTATGAGCGCAAAGCCAAGTAGATCGGCAATATCCACGCTGCAGCGCAGTATTTCCTACAAGAACATGCCATATATTTAAATTGAATAATAAGTATTTCATATTCTGAATTTCTTACCGCGAAAAAATTAAATTCTCCGCTACCCGATGATGAGTCCGAATAGAAGAATGTAGCTAATACGAGCATTTTACAGAGCTGTGTGAATATATAAATGCAGCCTGCCTGCACACATTTCCAGAACGCACCATATTCCGACCTGAAAATAATTTATCAATTTTAACAAATATTTATTGATTAATGGTTTGATTTATTGGTTGCCCTAATTTAAAATTATATCTTACAGGCCCGAGTATTTGTAGGTGAAATAATATGGCAGTAGCAGTGCAACACAATTTCCAAAGTGATACAGCGTCATTTTCTTTTATAAACCTCGACTTTATCGGTTAATTATGTTAAAACATTAATTTATAGTACAAATTGGCACACGAGACGAAATGAATGAAAAAAAAAAACACTGGGTAAGAGGAAGAACTGCGAGAGAATCCAGCAGCTGTCAATTGTTGCCGGTGGCGCTGCCAACTCACGATATTTTGGTGTATTTAAATACCAATTTGATCTATGAAAATAAGAAAAGCAGTAACAATCCTGCATGATATGGTAAACTTTCCTTAACTCAATAAATGCTAAATGAATTTTTTGTATTGAAAACTAATATTTGGCACTTACTTCACACAGCAATAAATATATAAATAAAATTTTATGAATAATTTAGTTTGGTATTTTATATGTATATAGTTTTTAATTGAGTTGCCAGTTCTCTTCGCCAGCAACACGTCATCTGTCATCTGGGATGGCTTGGCTGTGCATGTGTGGGTACGAGTGTTTTTTTTTTTATTAGGGCAAAATATCTAGCAAACTCATAATTAAATCGCAAAATTCCATAAAATAATTTGTGAGAAATTTATAAAAGCATATATATTTAGCGTGGATACAAAATTGAGTTAAGAACTGCAGCACATGCAAGTAAATCGCAAGAAGGTTAAATTAATCCAAGTCGTAAAATAAGAAAGCGAAGAACTGTGCATGACGAATGCAAAAAGCAACGTCAACAACAAATACATTAACAAAAGCAAACGAAGGACAGGGATCTAAGCAACTAAGAACCTTGACTTGAAATGAGATGCAAACTCGACGCCGTCATCAACAAACGGACCAGCAGGAATTCAGCAGCAATTACAGTGTCCAGCAATTGCCACAACAGGAGCAACTGCAGCAGCAGCAGTCGCTAATCCAGCCTGGCCAAAAGCAATTGTACGTAGCTCCACCTTCGGAAGCTGCCATTAATATTGGCGAAACTTTTTCGAGTGGCGACGCAGACGACAAATACGACAAAGCCGCCCGCCAGTGGAACTTGTTTAGTGGCATTTCGTCACGCTCTGGCCAGGCGCTGCGCACTTTTATACAACAGCCATTGAGCGCCGCGGCGGCTGTTGTAACAGGCAATCATCCCAATCAATCGCAAAGCTTGGATAATAACAATTCCAGCAACAACTACGAGAAGAGCGTCTACAATTTCGGAGGTAATTCAACACAGGTTGAAGCTGAAGAAATCGAGGAGCCAGAAATATTCATAATGGCTGCAAGAGATCGTACGGGCGAGTTTGCCAATGCGATTCGTTCGCTACAATCACGAAACATCACACGGGCAGTCAACATACGAGATCCGAGGAAGGCCAAACAGGTGCAGAGCTATTCGGAATTTATGATGGTTGCCCGCTTCATAGGCAAGAATATAGCCAGCACATATGCGAAATTGGAGAAACTAACCATGTGTAATTAAATCAATTATATCTAGTGGCTATTTTTCGATTTAACCATCATTCACTTGCTTACAGTGGCCAAAAAGAAGAGTCTATTCGATGACAGACCGCAGGAGATTCAAGAGCTGACGTACATCATCAAAGGTGACTTGAATGCATTAAACCAGCAAATAGCCAAGCTACAGGACATCTCCAAGGATCAGCGCCGCACCACAAATGGCAAGCACCTCGTCTCACATTCCTCCAATATGGTGCTTGCACTGCAATCCAAATTGGCCAGTATGAGCACAGACTTTAAGCAAATCCTTGAAGTGCGTACCGAAAATCTCAAACATCAGAAGACGAGACGTGATCAATTCAGCCAAGGTCCTGGACCTTTGGCAGCGCACACCGTCTCACCATCGACCGCCAAACAGGGTTCACTGCTGCTCAGCGAGGAGAATCAAGCGGTTAGCATAGATATGGGGGGAACTGAAGCGACGCCCCTACTAGGAGCTACTTCACATCTGCAGCAGCAGCAGCAGCTGGCCATCTACGATGAATCCGATTCATATGTACAACAGCGTGCTGAGACAATGCAGAATATTGAGTCAACAATTGTGGAGCTTGGAGGCATATTCCAGCAGCTGGCGCATATGGTTAAGGAACAGGAGGAGATTGTTGAACGCATCGATACCAATGTGGCGGATGCGGAGCTAAATATTGAGGCAGCGCATGGCGAAATACTCAAATATTTTCAATCCGTATCCAAGAATCGTTGGCTTATGATTAAGATCTTCGGTGTTTTGATATTCTTCTTCCTGTTCTTTGTTGTTTTTATGTCATAATTAATGCTAAATACTAACCCAATTCTAAATTATTGTGAATACATATGGCATATACACCTATATACATATATATGTAATATATTTTTATCGATATGGAGTTATGTACAAAGGTAAATTCTTGATTCAAATTCAAGCCGTTTGTAAAATAAAGCTAAATCAAGATACGTACGACAAATTTCATGTTGGGCAATTACATATATGCAGATAGGGCTAGTTCGTAGGCAGCCAGATTTGATAAGAACTTGTTTGTAATCTTTATGATGTTTAAAGTGGCGTGGCCCGTGTACAATTGGCTTAGATATATTAACTGTCCTTTGTTTCAATGGATGGGTAGCTTAGTCGAATATGCCGCTATCTCGCAAGCTATTTAGAATACATAGAAATCAAATGTTATAAATTTTTGGCGTATAATTCTTAAATAACATTAACATCTTATGTATATTCATATTTAGTTAAGATATTTTTGCTGCCGATGACTTGAGCAATAGATTAGATGGAAGATAGTATTAGAAATATAACTTCAAGTGTAGCCCCATCTAAGATAACGTTACTGGGTACTAGCCTACTACAAAGGTTCGACAAGGTCGAGTCGAAGTCCTCAGTAGGTCGCATACCTTGTAGCATATAAGTTTTACTTTGTAAAAGTATACAACTAAAATTGATAGGTTTTACCTCCAATGTAGTTCTTAATAAAGTAAATATTTCAAAATTTCTGTTAGTATTTGTATGTGTTTATTTTCTCTGAGGCTTCAACTACCAAATGCAAAACTAATTAAATTATATTTAAAAAAATAATAATAAAAAAACCATTAGAAATCTACATAGATGTTTCCTTGTTATGGTTGGCATTATGAATAAACTAGCAAATTTTTACATTTAAAAACATTCTTGGCTCCCAAATGGAGTTGTGTAGGGCTGGTTAGGCGTGTGTGTGTCTGTCTGTCTGTATGTGCGCGTGTGTATGTGTGTAGATATATATGAGGATGTAGATGTAGAAGATGCTCTAGTGCCAACAACAATGAGATCCCCAGGCAGCTGCCCCTTTTATACCCTCTTATGTTGAGATGAGCGAATAAACCATGCTAAAATTAGCAGAAAAACGAAAACAGAACATTAGACAAATGCAAAATGATATTTATAAGCATAAGTAATTACCCGTAAATATAGTAGAAGAAGCTGATCAAGTAGACGGCTAATTTAATCCAACCCTCACGCAAATTCCGCGATAATGTGTCCGTCTTTAAAACCGTAGTGGGATCATATAAACCAGGACCCGACATCAATGGACGATTCTTGTAGCTGCAAGGAAATTATTTATTTAATTTATGTAATCACAATTAATGCTATGGTGATAAAACTTACCGCCATATATGGTAGGCTATTAATGGTATATTGAGGCAAAGTGAATACCATTCTCCGCAAAATAAGAAAAGTAAATTTAAGAAAAAGTGCAGTAAATACTCCGGCAAAACCAGCTGTAAAAATTCAAAATGATTAGTCACTGCTTAAGTCACATTCTAAAATAATATATACATATATATGTATATATATTATATATTCTCTTACCGGGTTGAGACTATTGCACTGATCGATTGGATTTTTATAATCTGTTTTGAGCTCATCAAATGCAATCACATGAAATATCGCGAAAAATATTAGAAATGCATCGCCAATGAGCGCCACAATATACGTGAAAGCAGTGAAGTTGAAGGCCATTGTTTGTAGCGGTTTGATAATAAAATACTTCTGGGTGTTATTTGAAAGCTAATAAAATATATATTACATATGTTTATTTAAATTGGTTTGTTATAATTACGCACTGGTCCTGCTACATGAGTGTGTGAGTCTTGTAGAATGATGACAGCTGTGACTGTCGCTTAATTTTTCGCCCTAATGCTATATTAACAGTGCGTGCCAGTGTCTACCTACTTTAGTTTTGTAAAAATGTTTTGTGTAAGATTTATTTGCAATTTCTGTATAAACTTTTTCATGAAAACTCTACTTAAACAATATTTAGCAAACTTTAAAGACCATCAAGTCTTAATTATTTATTTAAATCTGTTGCCAGTCACATAACAAACAGAACAGAATATAACGACTCTGTAAAGGGTGTGCCGCTGTAAACAGCTGGAAGCCAGGGCTATTATAATAAATGTCGCTCAGAGCTTCGATAATAATATGAAAGAAATTAATTATTGAATTCCAATCACTAAATTTAGTTTATAAGATAATTTTACATTGCTTCACTTTGTTCTATTTTTAGAAAGTGTTCTGAAGAGTAAAATAAGTTCACATTAATAACAAGCGCGGTCTTATTATTCCGTTGCGTGCATTGTGTAGCCCTGGTATCGTTTGCCGCGGAATTTTCATATCCAATGCATTTCCAAACCGCCATTGCAATTTTTGACAGCAGTGCGTACACAGATTATATTTAACAACGCCTGTGCAATCAATTTTGTGATAAATAAATCCAAAAAAAAACTGAACTAGATAAACTGAGACGATAATATTTTATGTGAAAAATGTCTCAATTCAATTTTGTGAGCGATCTGCAAAATGCCTTGATCATGGATGGAGAGACGCGTGGTCCTGCGCCCCGCTGGAAGAAGAAGCTGGAAGCCTCGCTCAATGGAAGCGTGAATACAACACGCTCCGTGCTATCCGTTTCATATAATACGAGCTTTTCAGGTGTACAAGCACCAACCAAAACGCCAGGCAAAAGCTCTGACGCAAAGACTAAAAAGAGTACAACGACGCCAACGAAGACACCTGGAGGTGGAGATCGTTTTATACCCAATCGTGCAGCCACCAACTTCGAGTTGGCACATTTTTTGGTAATTAGCATTAATAAAAATACTAATTTATGGATGTTACAATATAGAACGTCCAATTTGCAGGTCAACAAAGACACTGGCGATAAGTCCGATGAGGATCAAGAGCAGCAGCCAACGAGCAGCAACGAGAATAATGTCCAAGCATCTGCTCATAAAGGTGAACGACAGAAGCTGATTGCCGAGGTGGCTCAGGTGGGCGAAACAAGCAAAAGTGGACGCATATTGTGCTATCAAAACAAAGCACCCGCTGCTCCCGAATCCCATACAAATCCTCTTAAGGTGGTGTACTCCTTGAGGACGCCCATATCGACGAAGAGCGGATCCCGCTATATACCGACAACATCGGAACGTATACTTGATGCTCCTGATTTTATCAATGATTACTGTAAGTAATTCTATATCATACATGTTATTTCTGCTATTTAGATTCTCCTTATTCTCCTCTACTTAGATCTCAATCTCATGGACTGGAGTGGCGATAACATTGTTGCCGTTGCATTAGGGAATTGCGTTTACTTGTGGAATGCAGCGAGTGGAAATATTGAGCAACTAACGGAGTATGAGGAAGGAGATTATGCCTGCGCGCTCTCTTGGATCCAAGAGGGTCAGATCTTGGCTATAGGCAATAGCAGTGGAGCTGTAGAGCTCTGGGACTGCTCGAAGGTGAAACGTTTGCGTGTGATGGATGGACATAGCGCTCGTGTTGGTTCTCTGGCATGGAACTCATTTTTGGTTTCATCGGGCAGTCGGGATGGCACGATTATACATCACGATGTGCGCTCGAGGGAACACAAAGTAGGCTCATTAAATGGGCATGCACAAGAGGTGTGTGGTCTGAAATGGTCCACAGATTTCAAGTACTTAGCTAGTGGAGGCAACGATAATCTAGTGAATGTCTGGTCACTAGCTGCGAGTGGCGTAGGCACAGCCACTGACCCACTGCACAAATTTAATGAACATCAGGCAGCTGTACGAGCGCTAGCATGGTGTCCCTGGCAGCCCAACACCCTGGCATCTGGTGGCGGCACAGCGGATCGTTGCATCAAGTTCTGGAATGTGTGCAACGGCTCACTTATCAAGTCTGTAGATTCCAAATCCCAGGTGTGCGCTCTGCTCTTCTCACGGCACTATAAGGAGCTGATTTCTGCACACGGCTTTGCCAACAATCAATTGACCATCTGGAAGTATCCTTCGATGGTTAAACAGGCCGATCTAACTGGACATACATCGCGTGTCTTGCAGATGGCCATGTCACCCGATGGCAGCACTGTGATAAGCGCTGGAGCTGATGAGACATTGCGCTTGTGGAACTGTTTTGCACCCGATCCAATGGCAGCCAAAAAGGTGTCCACTGTCAACAGCAATGTGAAGAAGAGCGTCTTTCGACAGAGCATACGTTAGGGATGCAAAGGAGGGTCTTCAAATAGACAGTAAATGGTGGATCCGGAGGTATACCTCCTGCTAAGATATAGCAGAGCAGATGCTATAGGCAGATTCTCTTCCGACAAAGAGCTGGCAGAATTGACGAACTACTCACCCAACTATTCGAGACTAGACAAAACTATTTGTATTTCGATTAAGTTAGCAAACAAACAATATTAATTGAATTGTTATTTTTTTAAGAATTTCGTGTTAAGTCAATTCATAATTATGTGACTTTGATATTTGTGTATTTTGATGTATATTTAAGTTTTGTGCATTTTATATTATATTTGTAAATTGAAGATTGTATAGAAGACAGGAATAATTTGATTGCTGTTCATTCAATTATGTGACGACTAACTATCTGATATATTTATTTAAATTGCATGTTCATGATCTATAAATAAAATGCTTGCCATACTGCAACCTTTTATGCTTTATTTACTTATTTTGACAGGCTTACATGGTAAACAATATTTATTTATTTTTTTTTAAATATGTAGCTATTTTTTTTTTTTGTGGGTATGGTAAGTTGCAGGTTTTTTTTTTTAACTCCATTGATTCATTTGTATTTTTTTGTTCGTCGCGTGTGTGGAACGTGTCAAAAATATCTCATTTCAGCATAGTTTGTTGCCTTTCTTCAGCAGCTGTTATTGGAATTATAGCGTTGCTAAATATAAATATATATATATATATATATTTATATATATATATATATATATATATATATA